CACAGTACACAAGTAAGTTCAAAGCCCACTTTAGTCTACAATGTATAATTATAGATCAAGAAAGCCAACTGAAATACAGTTTGTGTAAAAGATGTATAAAGACTGAAATTTTTGAAAAATTCTTGAATTCTGATTAATCTTTAACCCATCATGCACTGCTGTTTGTCATTCACAGAGCCTGAGATAGTTCGAAATCTGACTGTCAGTAATTTCACAACAAGCTCTGTGTCTCTGAACTGGACTGCACCAGAAGGAATGGTGTCTTTTTACACAGAAGTGTGGACAAATAATGTCCTAAGTCAGAATCTCAGTGTGTACAACACATATATTACTGTATCTGGGTTGACCCCAGGTGTACAGTACAGTTTCAGTGTCAGTGCAGTAGCTGGAGATAATAAAACTAAAGGAGAAGCCACAACAATCTCTCTGTATACAAGTAAGACATATAGTACTTCATCATCTGCATGAAATTTTACAACAAGCGTTTCATTTAAAGCTCAGCTGCTATGCATCTCTTTGATGTTTTATTTAATTTTTTAAATCTAATACAATTCTGCTGTTATTTCCTGGTTTTGCTGCTCACAGAGCCTGAAGTAGTCAGAAATTTCAATATTACTGATGTAACAACATCCTCTGTGTTTGTGAGCTGGACTGCACCAGAGGGAAATACCTCTTTCTATAGAGTTCATTGGACAAATGGAACAAACCATCAGACAATAAATGTGACCGATACATTCAGGAACATTACTAACCTGACTGCTGGTGTGTTGTGTAAAATAAGTGTCACTGCTGTAGCAGGTGATAATTACACTGAAGGACAAAATAAAACAGTTTTCAGATACACGAGTAAGTAAACATTAGACAGTCATGCTTTAAAACTCATGGTTTGTGCAACCTGTTATTCTGAAAAGAAACAAATGTTCATGATATGGAATGTTATCTCAAAGAAGAACCATGGGGGTATTTCACAGTTGTTCCAGGTGAAGTAGGCTGTGGACTTCAGCTGCAGTGATGCTGATTGCCTTGTCTGTGTTGATGATAACAGAGCTCTCAGGGCTGTTGTGTCTTTGGTTTCCATCYAGAGTTTGACAAAACAAAAATTGTATTGATTTATAATGTTTTTTTATCACTTTTATTCACAGAGCCTAATGTGGTGAGGGATCTTGGTGTAACTGAAGTCACAACTTCCACTATATTTCTGAACTGGACTAAACCACTGGGAGAGAGATACTTCTTTATTGTACAGTGGACAGATGGAAAGATAACCAATAGTTCCAGTGTAATGGAAACAAATATAAATATTACTAATCTGATCCCTGGAGTCTTTTATACAATCACTGTCACTGCTGTGGCTGGTGATAACTATACTAAAGGAGCCAATGATTCTGTGCCACAGTACACAAGTAAGTTCAAAGTTGACTTTAATCTACAATGTTTAATTATAGATCACGAAAGCCAATTGAAATACAGTTTGTGTAAAAGATGTATGAATACTACAATTTTTGAACATTTTTTTAATTATTATGGACCTTTTATCCATCATGCACTGCTGTTTGTCACTCACAGAGCCTGAAATAGTTCGAAATCTGACTGTCAGTAATTTCACAACANGTACAGTACAGTTTCAGTGTCAGTGCAGTAGCTGGAGATAATAAAACTGAAGGAGAAGCCACAACAATCTCTCTGTATACAAGTAAGACATACAGTAGTTCATCATCTGCATGAAGTTTTACAAAAACCTTTTCATTTAAAGCTTAGCTGTTCATAGATATTTTGTAAAACTTTCATGTTTTATTATTATTATTATTTCTAACACAATTCTGCTGTTATTTCCTGGTTTTGCTGCTCACAGAGCCTGAAGTAGTCAGAAATCTCAATATTACTGATGTAACAACATCCTCTGTGTTTGTGAGCTGGACTGCACCAGAGGGAAATACCTCTTTCTATAGAGTTCAGTGGACCAATGGARCAAACCATCAGACAATAAATGTGACCGATACATTTAGGAACRTTACTAACCTGACTGCTGGTGTGTTGTGTAAAATAAGTGTCACTRCTGTAGCAGGTGATACTTATACTGAAGGAGCTGGTGTTTCTGTGTCACACTACACAAGTAAGTTCAAAGCTGAGTTTTGTCAAAAATGTATACTGATGGATCAAAAAAGCAGATTAAATATTGTATGAGTGAAACATTCTAGTTGTTTTGTCCTTGAGTAATAGCTTTTGTTTATCCAAAGATTCCTGTTGTAAGTTTGGAATCTGTTAYACCTCAAAGTTCGCGTTCCACTACTGCTCTTTCTTTTTTCATTTTTTTTCATTGTATTGTTTTTCTGTTCTTGTTGTTCATTTTAGGACCAGGCTCAATCAGTTCTCATCAAACGTCTGTAACCACGTCCTCCATCTTGTTGAACTGGACAACACCTGTTGGTCAGGTGTTCCTTTACAAGGTGGACTGGGTTTACAATGGTGGTTCATCCTTGTCCACTAATACAACCGATTCTTCTGTAATTCTATCAAACCTGAACTCTGGAACCAACTACACAATTACAGTCACTGCTTTTGCTGGAGACCGCAACACAACCGGAGCGCCTTATAAAATTAATCAATTTACAAGTAAGCCATGTTTTATTTTTTAAATCAGATTCTTAAAAATCTTGAAATTCATGAAAAACCAACGAGTTTGTGTCAAAGGATGCTACAGAACTGTAAGCAACACATTGCTTTCAATATTTTAAAAACAACTATTGGTGAATCTTCAAAAATAAAATGACATTTTTCTTCATTGATAATTYACAGGAAAGTATTTCACTGCATTTTGATTTAGGTTATTTCAATAAAAGAGGTTTGATTTCAATATGAAATTGTTAGTTTTTCACTAAATACGTTAGCTCTACCTCAATCTAAACTTGCACAAAGGTTTGAGCCTCATGTTGCTGAAACACATTTGCACAAGAAAAAGTTTGAATAGTGTGGTTCTACTTTAAAATCCTGGATATTTTTGCACAACAAACTTTAACAGCTGTATCATTTTTATAATTTAGATCAAAATCATTATTTTTCAATCATCTACACATTATGTATCATTTCGCATGGTGCCCATACGGTGACATTGGAAATAAAAAAGTGAAATCTTGGCGACAAAATAATAATGTGTGCCCATGCCTTAATAATGCGTGGCCACGATATAATTATTGCATTGCCATGCATTATAAAGTCGTGGGCTCGTGATAATTAACACATGGCCAAGCATTAATTATGTTGTGGCCACCACAAAATCATTGCCGTCTTCTACGTGCAGACTGTTGATTGTTTGTATGGACAAATCTAAATTATCCTAATTTATTGTTATTTTAATAGAATGAATAACGTTGCTACGTCAGCGCCTTACGTTAGGCATGAAGTAGTTATTAGCTTTATGTGCTGCAGTTATAAGTCACAGGTGACAACTGGAGTTGTCTATTTGACCAAAAAGCTTTATTTTCTTTTTTTGAAGCTCAACTTTCAAAACAGGCTGCAGTCATTCTGCGCCTTGGCTGTGGAAGGAGTCAGAATTATAGTGTTCAGGAACCCAGTAAAAAAATTGTTTCCTGACACACAAATAGCCTACTATGAAAGATTATCCATTTATATTGACATACACCAAATTATAATAATAATAATGTGTGTGCACATTTAAACAGTTGAACAAAAAAACTAAAAAAAATGTAGGCTATATATAATCTAACTCCAATCATGTCTTTCTCTCACAACAAGACTGCTCAAAATTAGCCTACTGCTGGCCGTGCAGTAATTATCTTGTGACCACGACTTAATAACGTGAGGCCATGGGCATGGCCACAAGATTTTTTTTCCTCCAAAGTCACCGGACGGGCGCCGTAATTTCGCAAAAAAAAAAAAAAAGTAATTAACTAAAAAAAACTGAAGCATGTAATTACCCTTTTTTTGTCACATAGGACCTCAAAAGATTAACAACATCATGGCTACAACAAGAGGAACAAAACATTTAAACCTCACCTGGACTTTACCTGGAGGAAGAGTGGACAATTATGTGGTGAAAATCTCAAACGCAGATATACCATATGTGGTATCAAATACCACACCAAATGCCACATTCCTTTTCAATGATTTATCTCCTGGAAGACTCTTTACAGTCACAGTGACGTCTGTGGCAGGAAACTTCACTAACACGTCTGACCAGGCTTCATTTGCCACCTGTAAGTTGATTTATTTTTATCTGCTGAACACTAAAAACATCAATTTTTTAGTCTGTGTTTTTCTAAAAGCAAAACACATTTTCAGTCACGTCTTCCAATCAAGTTCAGTGATGTCAAAGAGTTGAAAATGTGTGTGTGTGTTTTTTTAGGTCGACATTTATTTTGACTCAATTAAAATGTCTGAAAGAGCAGAGATTGTGATGGACTGATTTCCTTGCAGCCAGTGTAGGATGAACTTGGATTAAGTTGGTTTGTTGTAGATACATTTAGGTATTTTCCTCTTTTTATCATTTGCAAGGCAATGAATATCAGTTTTTACACAAATTTTGGAAGATCTCTGCATGATCATCATATTTACATTAAGTAAAATAGTCCAACAGACTCAATTTCTGATGTTATTTTTCTGTTTGACTGATGTGTGGTGTTTTTTTATTATTTGTGTTTTCAACACAAAAAATATTCTGAATTATACTGTCTGATTCATTTAATGCTGTAACGGAGTAAGGCAGGGAACTTTACTGTCCCCTTACCTTTTTAACATCTACATGGATGAACTATCAAAGCGCCTGAATTGTTGTGAAACAGGCTGTGTAGTTGGTGACCGCATAATCAATCACATAATGTAAGCAGATGATTTGGTAATCTTATGCCCATATAGTGCTGGCCTTCAACAATTACTAAGGGTCTGTTCCCAATATGGTTATGACTTTGACATCAAGTATAACGCTAAGAAAAGCAATGTTATGATTGTTAGAAGTAGAGCAGATAAGCATCTGATAACCCCTGACTTCCCTTTATCTGGCATTGTCCTCAATATATGCAATGAAATGAAATATTTGGACCACTATATAACTGATGACCTGTCTGATGATCGTGGCATCTGTAGACAGTATTGTATGATGTATGCACAGGCTAATATTCTGATCAGAAAGTTTGGTATGTGCTCATCCTCTGTGAAGATAGCTCTTTTTAAAGTTTTCCCATCTGTGGCAAAGATACAAAAAAAGTAGCCTGCAGAAACTTTATGTGGCATACAATGATGGCATGAGGCTACTACTCAGAGTGCCTAGATGGAGCAGTGCTAGCCACATGTTTGTACATAATGCTGTCCCCATGTGCAGCTGTGCTCAGGAACCTCATGTATAAATGCATGTCTAGGTTATCTGTGTCATGCAATAATGTAATTGCAATTTTAGTAAATCCTGTTTTTAGTACAGTGAGGTTTTTCTCAAGATTGTGGAAACATTGGCGTCATCATTTATTTGTGACTCAGTGAATATGTCATGTTTATTTTTATTCTTTCTCTTATTTTGTTTTTACCTTTTTTTCTACTATGGACCTTTTTGTGTCTGGAATAAAGATTGATTGATTGATTGATTGATTGATTGATTATACCATTTGAAAACTGACAAATGTTTGCTGTTTAAACCTTATTTCATCTTGTACCAGCTCACTTTTGACAGTTTGAATTTAAAAATGTGTGTGTGCACGTATTTTTCACTTGTTAGATCCCACACCTACTGGATCCTGCGTCATCAGCTACCAATCAAACTCTTCGCTCCAGCTGCAGTGGGCAGTCCCACCTTGGATGAACGGTGCTCCTAACATCAACTATTTTATTGCCTACAAGCCTGGGAGTGGTGGCAATCAAACAACGAACTCCACAGGAACAGAGCTGACTGGTCTCATGTCAGGAACTTCGTACAGCGTTAGTATAACAACTGTTGGACCCCAAAATTTAAGCAGCACAGCTGTTTGTAACTCTTTCTACACCCGTAAGTTTCAACTAAAAACTCCTTGGCGTAAATTATATATATATATATATATATATATATATGGAATGAAAGCTTGAGTTGAATGTATTTGCCTTTATATCACAAAGCACTGCCAAAACTTTGTCGTGTTTCATGGTTGTTTTAAATGATTCTCATGCATTTTATCAGCCTGGTTAAAGAAGGAGGCAAACTGCAACACTTTTTGAGTTCTTAAATCTGTAAAAATGTCAAAGCCTCCAAATAGTCACAGGATTTTCTTTCCTGTAAATGCTTGTTTTGAACACTGTTCATCTTTTTTTATTTTTTTGGCCTGAAACATTTATTGAAAAATCTCAAGTCACAAAACGGACCATAGTTTTTTTTTTTTTTGTCTAATTTATAAATATCCAGAGCAGTAAAAGACGTTATTAAGCCATTTTTATGAACTGGATGTCTATATACAAAGAAAAMCCCCCAAATTTCTTCCCAATTGCTGTGCAAATATTGCACCCAGCTTCATTTAAATGCCAGATTAGGTCAACGTTTCAATTTTTACATGGCATACCTATGACAATAACTGATGAAGAAATGTAAATGAAGGATTATCTTACAAAAAAGAAGTATGCAGAGCCCTACAAAAAATAAATAAATAAAACTTGACCCAGACATTGTGATACAAACTGAGTGTGAAACAGTCTTGCTGAGATGTTTAGCTTAGCACACATTTTTTAGTTACATTAGACAAATTTATTCCTACAATAGTTTTTTTGTAAGTTCTAATAAAGTTTAATAGACAATCTTTGTATAACTTTTAAACACTCACATTCTCAGCTGACCCACTGATCTCTTCTGTCTCCTTTCTTCAGGACCAAATTCTGTGACTAATCTGACTCAGACAGAAATCACCACAAACAGTTTGACCTTAACATGGAACCAGACAGACAGCAAACAGGACTACTCGTATAAGGTGCAGGTCAACAGCACTCCTCCAGGTTTACCAGGAACACAGACAAACACCACAAACTCCACAGTCTTTACAGTCTCTGGCCTCAAGGCTGGAAGCAACTACAGCTTCACTGTCACTACACTAACAGCAGATGGCACTCCAGCACAACCTGTGATGGTATCCTATTTCACACGTACGTATAGATTTACAGAAACGACTCATAACTGTATTAAATCAAATTTGTGCATCATGTTTCTATTTCCTTAAAATTAATTCACCATCCTTTGTTTGTTAGGGCCCAATGGTGTTACAGGTTTCACTGCAACAACACTAAACACAACTACTACTCATCTAAACTGGACAATTCCAGAGGACAATGTAACCTACACATACTGGGTGACGACGACAGGCTGTGGATTCCAAAACCAGACCATATCTGGGAAGAGCGTAGACATCTCAGCGCTCACCCCTGGAACCAACTGTACATTCTGCATTTCTGCCATGGCAGCAAATGGAATTAAAGGAGAAGAAAGCTGCACCTGGAGCTACACAAGTAAGACGTTACTTCTTATTTCTCTCTCTCTCTCTCTCTCTCGCTCTCGCTCTCTCTCGCTCTCTCTTTAATACCCCAGTTGTCATTGTTGACTTGCTTTAATTTTCCCACCAATTTACACAAACAGAACCAGAGCTGGTGCAGCCCAGCGTCCACAATGGGGGCTCTAACTGTTCAGTCGAARTATCATGGACGCCCCCTAATGGAAATGTGGAGAGATATGCACTTTCTCTAAACGGCACTTTGAAAAATGTTGAGCTGGGTCCTAATAATAACTCCTTCTTGTTTGGCAACCTGTCGGCTGGAGTCCTTTATAGCATCATGTTGACCACATGCAGCGGACCCTACTGTGTATCATCAGATTATGTCACTAATGCAACATGTGAGTAATAAAAACCTTTGTCTTCTTCATTTGACTGTTCTCTCTTCAGGGGCTGGTTTTTCAGGTATTGTGTTTTTCTGTTCATGAGAGCTTTTCTTTAAAAACAATGAACTTTACTGGAACTTAAAAAGTGAAAATATTTTTGGTTGTTTTGTTTTATCAATTTGTACTACAAATCAACTAAGCATCACCTTGCCAGAAAGTTCTCGTGTAGTGATTTTATGTATTTTTTTTTTTTCAATTTTATCTGGAATATGATTTTTTGATTTATGGTGAATATTCTAAAAGTTATTTGATTTAGGACTATAAGAATTGGCTGGTGACTGACCATTTTACAGACAAATTATATTATAGGAAAATTGGTTGGAAAGATAAGAAAACAGATGTAATAAACCTAAAGTTTGTGATAATTAATTTTTTTAACTCAAATAATTCATATGTAATAGCCTTTAGTTTGCAGCAGTGTTGCCCAAGTCTTTACAAAGGAGATTTATTTAATTGATATTGCAAAAAAAAAAATCAGTTTAGTGAAGTCAGTGTGGTGCTCTTTGTCCTTGCAGACCCGAATCCTCCCGGGCCAATTGAGATCCTGGAGAAGACAACCAGCTCCATTGGGTTTAACTGGACCGAGGCTCCTTTAATGACCAATACAACGTTCAACTACGTTCTGACAATAACACAACCCCTACAAGATGGGAACCCCTCTGTCCAAATTAAAACAAACACTTACAATTTTTCCTCACTGTTTTCTGGGACGTGCTACAACATTTCAGTGAGAACACAAGGACTGATGGGGTTTGAGAGTGAGGCTGTTCACAAAGACATGATCTTCACAAGTAAGAGTTTTATTCTTGAACCACCCWGTATTCCTCTTATGTCTCTTCTTCCTTTCGGATACTTGTAAAATCTGGTTTAACAGGAATATATTTTAACTGTTTTTTGAACCGTCAGGACCACTAACTGTGCAGAATCTCACAACCACTGTTGAAGTGAAGTCTGTCACCGTTAATTGGGCCCTACCTGCTGWTCACAAGGAAACCTATCAGTACAATTTGACCTGGATGAACTCAAATGGGAGAGTTCATTATACTTTGCCTAATAAAACTGTATATAACATCACTGACCTGGTGCCTGGAAGCTTGTATAGCATTAGCATCACCACAGAGACCTCTGATAGAACACAGTCTGCCCCAAAAAGCACTTCTGTCTGCACAGGTATGATCACTCAAATTGGATTCAYTGTTTCTGACTTTATGTTTGTTTTTCCATTTTTCTATGTATGTGTTTTATGCATGATCACATAAAAGAATACAGAGCATGGTAATTCTAGTAGTAAATTTATGATATTGGGCATTTTACTGTCTAATTTCATWTTATCCGAATGTAGACAGTTTTTTATTCCTACCTTCAGTAAACAAAAATAAAGACAACCGAATGTAAATAATGTGTTTTTTTAATAAAAATTCCATAATGCAGTTTTGTGTTTTGTTTTTATTTTCTGCAGGAGCAAGCCCTGTGGTGGGTTTAACGTGTAATGGACCAAACTCAGGAGATGCAGTACTCATTTTTAAGTGGAATCAACCTGAAGGAGAGTACTCTAGCTTCCAGTTTAATGGAACCAACATTACACCAAGTACTAGCCCTTGTTGTCAAAACACTGTTTCCGGCCTTCTTTACAATACTTCATATAATGTAGCTGTGGAGACATTAAGTTGTGGACTCCCGAGCACTCGTGTGACTCTTATCTGCTCTACAGGCATCACAAGTACGTTTATTTCTTTTGTTTGTTCTTAATAATTAAATGAATATATTTGCCTATATATATTGCCCGCCACCACCCTTAATACCAAATATTTAAACATAAGATCACCTTTATGTTTTTGCAATCTCATGCAATAATGCAATATTTCATGTGATTTTGYATGATCAGTTAGCGCTTAGATTAAATGTTGTAAATAACTCTTTCTTTACTACCAAAATTTTAGCTCAATATTCRTAAGACTGATTAAGTTATAGCCATCAGTTGTAGATGTACATCAAGCTGTTACTTTCTGAGAGTTTCATTTAAATTCACCCATTATGAGATACTTTGCTAACAGATGTTCAGGATTGACTCCAACAGGTAATACCAAGATTTTAGGCCAAAATGTTGAGCGATGCTGGGAATTACATGTTGGAGATGTTGCGGAGCTACTACCACACCAAATTTTAGCTCAGTGCTTGTAAAATTAGCTGAGTTCTTGCTATTTTTGGCTGTAGCGGCCATCTTGAATCAGCTTGACGTCCAGTGTTAATCAGTGATAGATGTCGGCCCATTGATTACTTTCTAAATAGTGCATTCAATTCTTTTCAGTGATGTGATGAGATATAACAATACAGACAAACAAACACATAAACTGGTAAAAAAAAACATTTAAAAAGATTTATATTAACAGCTTTTTAAAACTAGATTAACATTGTTTCAGCATCTTTACTAAACAAATTAAGAATTTTTACTTTTCTGTTTGATCCGTAACATTTTTGACAATATTACTGGTGATTTTGACAAGGTATTAATTTTCTTTTTTTTCCCCCTGTCTTTTGAAGATCCAAAGCTTCCAACAAACTACTCAGAATTTGTAAATTCAACTCGAGGGTTACAGATGTTCACAGTTGTAATTAACTTCCAACTGCTAGACGACAGCCATGGGCCAATCACACATGTTGGTATTCTGGTAACGAATAAAAGCAACGGTAGGTTTCATTTGGGTTTTTTAGTGTTACATCATACAAGTTCTGCTCATTTCACTGTTTCTGAATGGTTTTAGTTGTACCAGCAACTTTATTAACATTATTTGTTTTAACAATGAATGAGAGAGAGAGAGAGAGAGAGAGAGAGAGAGAGAGTGTTGTGGTATATCTACAACCAAATATTTATTTTCAAATAAAATTATTCCTATGATAATTTACTGCTCAATCTGGGTTTAGACGAGACTTTATTTCTAAATCCACACTACAGTCTGCCAGTTACAGACCCTTGTTTTAGATGAAATAATAAAGCTAAAAACTGGTTCACAGATAAACGTTTGGAGGGTATAGTGCCCCCACTTCCTCATATTACCCCCCAAATCACAGCTCCTTCCACTCTGCACCGTGACCAGCAGACACCTGAGCACACCCCCACCCTGCAGCCCCCACACCGGTCCCCCCCTCACCCTGCAGCCCCCACAGCGTGTCAGCC